CCCCAAAACCCCAAAACCCCAAAACCCCGTTAATCACATATAGAATGTTTCTAATGATAAAGTTAATAATCAAGTACCGCAAATGTCAGCTGTTATAATAATCAACATCAGAATGTAATTATTGTTAAAATAATGTCGCATATGTTGAGAAAAATACAAATAAGAATAGACAAGCCAAGAATATCATTCAGTTTGATCTTAATAGGAGTTTTATCTATACTTGCATAAAATGTATAAGGGGATTGTAGCTCACCTTTAACATTATATAGTGAATGCTCTGGAACAGACTATTCTTTTAGGACAGGTAAGTAGCTGACACTACAATAAATCAAAAGGATTCTCAATTATGATTACTGTGATATGAAATTTGAATATAATGATTCTATAGCATTTTTTGAGTACAATAAAGCTGATAGATGCTTCAATTATACTATGATGCAACCATTAAACGATATACCTTGCCAGCATGAATGTAAAGCTGGCTAATATTTACATGCTGACAATGAAAATAGAACTTTTGGATGCAAGGATTGCCCAGTCAATACATTTTCTACTGGCGGTGGATTATCTGTAGATGGTTCATTTGGCTAATGGCTTCATGCTTTATAAAATACTTCTGAATTTATTGTTAGGACTAAATTTGCATCAAAGTGCTACATGTATTTCTGTATGAATATTTCATATGATTCTAAAACCTATGTTAGGGTCTAATTGGATTGAAGAGGAGTGTTTACCCTGCCAGGTACTAAATGCTGGATAATATCTTAGCTGTGGGGAGGCTTCAGCCAGAGAAACATCAGTTGCTCATGAAATAGTTTTTGAGTTATTCTTTTATAAGAAGGGTAAACTATCATTGATCTACAGAAAAGATACTGTGAGAGAAATTGATGGATGGATGTCAGGGATATTTGAAATTTACATTGATTAGCAACTAGTATTTTAGGATCAAAATCTAGATGATGACTAAATCGCTTGGAAGAGCTTAGAGATAGATATAGAGCCAGGTATCCATGAAGTAATTATAAGTTACCAAAAATACAATAGCGCTTAAAACTCTCACTAAAGTTTAGATATTTAAGTAAGTTAAATATCAACTCTTGTTTGGTCTTAAACGAAAATTTTAGGAATTAAGATTAACTGGCTTAGAATATGCTGATCTAGAATGCAAACCATGCGAATATGGTTATAGTTTACCTGGCAGTTCTCAATGCTCTCTCTGCCCAAAAGATACTTTTCTTAACCCTGTTACTGTATTTAGTTTAAATGAAATTTTTTAAAGGAATAATGCGTTGAATGTCCAGAAGGTACGTTTTGTGCCCAGGGGGCTGTGGCTATAAATGCTGCAGATATTTGCACTAAAAAGAGAGAGTGTTCTCTAGATGAAATACCTATTATACTTGATTAGAAATGCTATCAAGATGAGAGAACACTTTGGTCAAGGAACTTCACTTACGATTATTCCTCAGTAACTGAAGAGGTATGCGGAGTTATTGATTCTAAGAAGATTCTCACAACACAATAAATGGATTGTGATAGCTGTGAAGCAGGCTCTATAAGAGTATAAGAAGGAAACACTTCATACTGTGAGCCATGCTATGAAGGATCTTATGCTGCTGATTGGATGAACAAAAAATGCCAAGATTGCTAGCCTGGCCATTATTTAGAAAAGGGACTTTTCTTGTCCAAATTCCTAAATATCCCTGAAGAATATGGCTTTTCAACCAATTGCCGTGATAAAGACGGCCTTAAATGCAAAGACTCAAATGGATTTTTAGCCAAATACAATAGAGGTTTGATTGCTGGAAATAGAGAACAAGAGAAGACTATCACTTAACTAAATATTAATGTTGAAATTTTCGAAAATGAAGACCCATTATTTTAGAACTAAAGGTTTGAAATTTTCTATAAACTAGAGAAATTCTCGAATTCCTCTCTGGATTATTTCAACATCACTGTTAATAAGAGAAGAGTTTGTAAAAATCCTATATAAGTGATTAAATATTATAGTATCCATGGAAGCTGATGGAAAACATGAATTTTAATTGAACTTATTGCCAGGATAGAATTAGATAACAATAGCATATGAAAAAGGGACACCCAGCTCTTTTGTAGTAATAACAAAGATTATCCTTGTTGGTTCTAAGCATCATAACATGGGTGCTACTCGCTGCTTAAAGTGTCCTACAGTAATATTTAATGTTAATAAACACTTTTAGTCATTCTTTAGTGATCAAGCAAAGTCTGATACTTGTCGCGCATGTCCTTAAAAGATGACATCAACAAATGGTAACGACTGCGTCAAATGTCCTGAAGACCGCTTCTCTTTTGGGCCTGGTTCTCTATGCTTTGGTTGTCCTGAGAATACTTATGTTTCAGAAAATTAAACACATTGTGTCCCCAACGGCCATTTATTATAGCTATCAAAGACATAAAGTGCATTTAATGTTCAGTAGCCTTTTGTTTATCACTTATCTCAATTCAGCTCAAAACTTAATAACGAATCTAATACTGATCCTAATAGTGCAGATTATAGAGTATGCAAAGGAATGGGGTAATTTTGTTAGCATGGCTACTTTGGGCCTATTTATTCAAACATCAAGACAGCTGAAGATGATTACTTTTTCAAGAACTAGTTTTTCGTCTCTCCTACGGCCTTAAGCGACTTCTGGAAGATAAGTGATATTGAACTTGAACTTAGTTAGGATGATAGAAATAGCTTTTTGCATAATTCCTTTATCATTGGTCTTTATGATTAAAATGCAGTAGAGCACTATTCAACTCTATAATCACCTGGCTTAGGTGATAAGTGTCCAAGCAATCTTTAAGGGAAGAATCAAAGGATTGTTAAATCTTTGGGGACAAATATAAGATCAATTAGTATACAAGATAATGCCTTTACTGTGCACTATAATCATGGTGATCTATGCTTCTATGATTAGAATTAGAAACGGTTCTAAAGCGAAATTAAATTTGTATGCGATCATAATGAAGACGAAGGATGGCCTATCCTCATCAAACCAAAAACATAAGATGCGCTTTGTAATGTATAATTTGTGTGGAAATCCAAGTATGCTTGCAGACAATGCTTTATATCTGAGGTAAGTTCCTTAAAAGGACCATGCATTGCAGGAGAGAGGAAAGTTCAACTTTAGGCTACTAATGAGTGCTTACTCTACAGCTAATCTTATTTAGATGATATGTCTAAAATGGAGCACTAACCTATTGATTATCATTCAGAATAGGTTAATCAAACTCTGGCTTTAAAGAGTTATGCATAATCATGCTCTTTCATGGACAATTATAGGGATAATCGTCATATTATAACAATCGTTTTCGTTTCTTGTGGATCTGCTATATTCTTGATCTTCTTGAGTATTATATTGATATTCAGGTATAAGAAGTTTAAGTATATATATTATGAGAAGGTAGAACTTTTGAAATCAAAGGATACACATAGAAACAATTTCTAGACAATAGACTTTTGATTTAGAGAACAAGATGAAGAGCAAAATATTGCATAGCCCATGAATGATAAATAATTGGCTTATAATTTAATGAAATTAAGATTAATCTTCTAAGTTTAATTAAATTCATTCATGATACAAATTGATAGCATTACTCCATTTGTTAATGTCGTTTCTTCATTATCATCAAATCATCACATTTAGAATTCTTCCTCAACGTGAAAATCAATTATTGCTTTTATCAGCTCTCTTCTTTAGATTTTGAAGATATAAAGTAACTCGTCTTCTATTTTTATAGCCTCCTCAAACATGTTATCTTCAATGTTTTTGTCTAATCTTGAAGCTTAATCGAGTATCTTTATCACTGAAAGCTTGAAGTATTTAGCAATCTGAAGTAATACACTCTTATTCAGATTTTTAGGTAAAGTAGTATTTTGCATCAGATTTTCTGAATCTGATTTGAAAACTTCTAATAACTAACTATCGTTTAAAGTTAGAAAGTTAGTTGCCTATTCAAGACATTTTATGGATAATATAGAATCGTATTCATTACTATTGAAGTATTTATTTAGATCTAGCATATCAATAGCTTTCTATTGAAGTTCCTAAACTATCCATTTTTAGGTTTCTAGGTACTATTTAACCTACTCTATATACTTTTCATAATCATTCTCCAATAAAAGCTTTTCTCTTGATCTAAATAAGTTATCGCTGAGATCTAATGAGCATCTTAGTATGGTAATTCTCACAATTTTCCCAATTAAAATTAGTTTTTCAGTTTTTAAATCTTCGAAGTCATCACTTTTAATGTCAAGTTTAGATAATTAGTATTTATGGATTTAAAGCTGTTCAATCATATTGTCTTAATGAGTGAGAATTAGTTTTCCATCGAACCCATTGAAGTCTATAGCTCCAAACATTTATGTTACTGAAGAAGATTCTATGCTGTCCTAATTTTCTTATTCCTCTCTTTCATTTGAATAGCTTTTGAAGAGTTTTTAAGATAATCGCTAAATATGCTGCAAAAGCTCATCCATATCATTAACCTCTGCTTAAATTAGCTTTTAAACATAATCATCTCTTGCAGTGATAAAGTTCTGAATTATTTCTTTAGATTTCAAAATAACCCAAGAAACATCTACTTCAGTGTTAACTAATTCTGATTCTTCTTTTTCCTCTGAATCACTATTACTCTCTTCAATAACTTTTAGCTTTAAACTCTTAAGGACTAGAGGGGTGTTAATTTTGAAGATATTCTGGCTTGGGCAAAAGGATACATTATCTAACTGAAAATAAGCAGTTTTATCTGCTAATTCTAGGTTTATGCTATGAATATATTTTATTGAAAGTACTAGAGTCATCACTTGATTTAGAACAAATTAATCTTAATTGAGAAGTTTTGATTCAAAAGCATCCTGGATGTTTATCTATGGGAAGGCTTCAAAGAACCAAAGATCGTAACCCTCTTATGAAAATCTATAAGAGTACATTTTGCTATTAAACAGAGGATGATTCAAGTATTCCAGCAATCTATTGTCTTCTGAGTCGATTTAGCTAGGATATATAATGAGATCTCTTTACTTTTTATCATCGTGAACATTTATTTGTCCATTACTTAGTATTTATAGATCTGAGTAGTTATCTTTTATAAACAGAGGAATTTTATCAAGTGTATTCATTTTTACTATAATATTCTAATCCAAAGATTTGCCTAATTAAACTCTCGCGGGGTTTTGGGGTTTTGGGGTTTTGGGGTTTTGGGG